ACAAAGAACTCCTAATTATATTAGCCGTAATAAAATAATTTTTCGCTTCGATATCAGAGCGTGGAAAATGAAGCCTGACATAGAGAATATCTTGCAAAATGCAGCAGAGTTGCATATGAGAGTGCAATATCTCATCGAACCCAGCTCATGATACGTGACGAAAATCGACGTGGTAAAGAAAAAAATCTCATTTTCGGAAAGGGAAAATTAAGCCCTTTTTAAAAACACCCAATGAAGAAAGCACCATTAAGGGCTTTAAAAGTCGAAAATAAGCACCTTTAAGCACTTTTTAAAAACGCTACGCAACATGTCTATTAATGAGGGATTTAAATGTTAGTTTCAATATGATTTTAAGAACTCAGATAGTAACATCAAAATATATATCCTTTAATTTAGAAATGTGTTTTGTTTTTGGTCTTTTTTTTTTTTTTGTTAAAGCATTACAACTTTTTCAACCTCTCATTTGATAATTTTCCATTCTATAGCAGCCCTAATTTCGTGCTGTAACCGTAAGTAGTGTACGTTATTTATAAACTGTTGCTTTTTTACCCACTTTAACCTCATTCACCTCAGAATTGAACTGCTTATTGAGAATGACAGAAAGTTAAGGAAAGTTCTTAAAAAGTCAGAACAATAGAAGAAAAAACAAAATGCTTGCCAACAGAACTTCTATCTGTGCAGCGTCAACTACAGATCAATTCACATAATTATAATATTATTTATCATAAATCTGATTCTGTGATCAAAACTCTGTATACATTCATGATAAAGAAAAATTCTTTTAAGATGAAGCTAGATGTGTCTATATTGAGAGCTACTTCACTTTTCCTGTTGTTATACTTAAATGAGCTATCACTGTAAATTGTTCTTGCAGAAATTAAGTAAAAAAAAAAAAAAAACTAAATAACCTGATGGGCAATTGTAACCAAATGCATATGTGACAGAACAATCTTGTACGCATTGGTCACAGTCTAGATAGCTTTAACTGCAGCCATAAGACTTAATATAAAGTTAGATCATCCCAATGGTTTTTGAATTACCGCCAACTATGATACAAAAAATTTTCAAAACCACCTAGGGAAACAAATAATTTTTTCCAAGTTTTTTTTAACATTTGTGATATATGAAACACTGTCAATCATACCCTTAATTTGTTGAAAATTACTACAGACCAATGCAGTCATACCAGAAACATTACCTTTTATGAATTTTTATCAAGATAGCCAATACTTAAAAGTGTTTGCTTAAAAAAAATTCAATTTATCACCCTACAATTTAAATTAAATAATCAATAAACTTTTATTTATTAATTTAATTTTTTATATAGGTTGTGATGCTATTAATTATTGGCAGCATATTTCCTAGCTTTTAGATTTCCTTTATTTCATAAATTTAAATATTCCTAATCTTTTTTTTTTCAATAAATAAATCATTTAATTAATTTTAATTCAATTTTATAAATAGCGAATGCAAGTATTTTTATTCTCAATAAATGTAATGGCCATTTTTTTATTTCAATACGCGTGTATATAACTAATTATTATTCACTGTCAGGACAACTGAGCATCAAAATCTGCTTTTCTAAATCTATTTCCAAAATCCATTTTTTCTAAATTTAACCTTTCTTTTTTCAACCACATTAAATAATGCCTATAATGATTCTCTCCTTTACAACAAAGAGTTGATTCTATACTCACTATTGACTTGGCTTTTGATTAGGCAGATCGGGGAGGATTTGTCCCTTGGATAGCAATATTCTTTTTATTTTGCACCTCAAGGTCTGCAGCGAAATTAAATTTTATTGAAATTTTGATCCTCTTTTCATCATCTGCTTCAATCAGATATCTTTAATTATTTATTTATCTAATTTTTATTTATTTATTCATTTATTCATTTGACATAATCAACAAAAATCTATCAATTTTCAAGCTATACCAACTACCACACAATTTTCCAATTAAAGTTACTTGATTTAGGAATGCAATAAGGTCGAACTTCCGCCGGTCTTCTCTAATACATCTAGTGATGAGTCAAAACATACTTGAAAATCAATCCAGACAATTTATAAAGAATTATAGCAATATTGCTCAGTTTTGGGCTACTTAAAAAATAAATTTTTGATTTCTTTTTTATTGTTAAATATGTATTTACTCACTTTTTTTATGAATTCTTAGAAACATTAATTGGTTGTACTATTCTGTTGCTAGACATTGTAGGGATGAATCCTAGAAACAATAATTAGTTTTACCATTCTGTCGATAGACATTGTAGGGATGAATCCTAGAAACAATAATTAGTTGTACTCGTTTGTTGAGTGCCATTGTAGGGGATGGATCCTAGAAACAATTAGTTGTACTATTCTGTCGATAGACATTGTAGGGATGGATCCTGGAAGCAATAATTGGTTGTACTCGTTTGTTGAGTGCCATTGTAGGGAATGGATCCTAGAAACAATAATTAGTTGTACTATTCTGTTGGCATTGTAGGGATAGATGCGTTGTTGCATAAGCATCTTTTTTCTTCTTCTTCTATTGTCCTAGGTAATATAGAATAAATTACGCACTAGTTACTTGTTTCATTACGCAATTTGAATCTCTCTTAAATAATGGAAGAAAACAATCGTGAATCAGCAGTTTATTTTAAAGAAAAATTTCTTGGGATTCATGTTGGGAACATTCAAAAGTCTGTCTAATAAGATTATTGCTTCATTCGCTTTGTGACAGCTGATCAGCCACGATGGTAAAAGGCAAGAAATTTGAATATTGTTGAGGAAAAAATATAAATTAGAACGAATTTATCATAATTCAATCTATCCTTGTCAATGTTAATTTATTTAAATTTCTTCTCATACCATATTTAATCAATTGTTCAGTTTCTTAGGATCAGAAATTAATTTTTAATAAAAAAGTTTTTACCGTTTTAAGTAACATTCCAAATTTAAAAAGTAACAATAAAAATGTGAAATTGTTTATTAGCATTAACGAATTGAAGCTAATAGGGCTCATTCAACATTACTTCATTCGAAATCGTAAATATCTCACCTTTTTTTTTTTTAATCAGAATCAAAAATTCTGCATAAAAATAGTAAATAAAAAAATTTTGAATAATTTTAAATTTGATTTGGATAATTTGAAACAATTGTTCTGGAAATGAAAGTTATTTTCGAGACTAAGTAAAACAAAAGCAATTTAACTGCATTCTCTATTGATAAATCATCATAAGCTTGGCAAGATTAAAAATATTTGAAGAAAAAAAGATTTTTTAATTCTTCTGTAATAGGATTAAAATGGGAGTTTTCTATCGAAAAGTGGCTATTCTGAAGTCCTGAGCGGTTGCAGTCAATTTAATGCCATTGTAACATTTTAAGATTTTGTTTCAATATTCAAATGTAATAATAAGCGTTTCAATAAGTGTTGTTTTTATGATCTTACTAGAACCATAAATTATCATATAAGATAGTAGCTGAATGAAAGCAGTGATAAAGGTGGAAACTGGCCTTAAGAAATCAGATATCCTGAAAAAAAATTGGAGTTTCACTCAACTTATTTTTTCTTAATTGATACATTGAAATCTGTCTTATGACTCAAATGTATTATGATTCAAAAATGACATTCAAAGAAAGCAGTCATAAATACCGGTCTTTTCTAAAAGTATTGCTTAATGTAATGATGAAAAAAATTTAATATATTTAACACTTAAACTTTATTTTTAAATTAAGTTTATGTGCTAAATCTTTGATACTGAGTACTTCTTTTAAAGAATATATGTTAGTCAAATTTTTGGATATTTCAAATTTTTTCTCTAGTTTCTTCAACTTTGATGATATTCATGTTAAACTGAATTTGTCAATCACCATTTTTATTCTTTTTATAACTATTTTATACATTTGATTGTACTGCACTTTTTTTATCTCCTGACAAGGAACAGTTTTATTTTACTTGGGTTGATGAAGTGTTTAAAAACAATTGGAAAATATTAAAACTCTTTGTTTTAAAAACTAAAAAACTACTTAAACTCTTTTAATAATTTGTTAAGTTATTAATTCACAATACAATAGATTAAATTAAATTTTTCAGTATTTTAAGTTGAATATCATTTACTTTATTGGGTAATTTCATTTCAGAAACATCCTTCTTAGAATCTATTTTGGTCAGGGACAAATCTGGGGGACAATATTTGGGGGGAGGGAACAAAATGTTTTTTAAAAAACTTACTGCGCATACACACACTATAATATAATTTCCAATCTTGAAAAATTTCGAGGGGTCCCCTCAGCATGATTTGGTATCATAAGGCCATATTGTTCTTTAATTATAAGTCCTCTAACACAGTTTAATTATACACGTTAACAATGGCATTGCCAAATTCCGTATCAGGCGAAAACCTTGTTCTTGGTTGCAATATCAACACATTTAAGCGAAGAACAAAATATTATAGTTATATCAGGGATTAGCAGTCACTGTGATGCTTACAGATTTGCAATTACCTTAACTCTTTAAAGACCGAAGCAGTGGAAATTTTAAAACCGTTAACATCCTCAGTTTTTCAGAAGAGAAAATTCACAAATGAACTCACCCTCTTTGTTGGGGGTTCTCTTTAGTCATTTGCTTCTCAGCAGGTCATTAGCTCCCCCACGTCACTAATAAATCAAAGGCGTGCTCTACTTGTCAGTGAAACTTCATGGCATTCAAACTGACAATCGGCTTGCTTATTTTTTCCCCTTGGAACGTTNAATGAAAATAATAATTTTATACCTTCTTTTCCACATTGCACTCATTAAATCTTTTTTTTTTCTTTTAAGCAAAACACACATTATTTTTAAAAAATTTCCAGAAACAATAATACTTTATAAATGTAAATAACATAGATCATACTTTGTTTTTTTCTAAATTTTATTGATGTTCTATTATTTACAAATGTAATGAATAGTGTGTCAGTGGAAGACAAAAGTAAGGAAAAAAAATGTGTGATTGTAACTAAAACAGAAAGACAAATTTCACTAATGTGCATAAGATTTTAATCTCATAAAGAACAGTTTTGCTAAAAATGGGTGCACAAAGCACATGCACACACAACAAACATCATGCGATAACAACCAAATCCTTAAGGAAGAAATAGACTACATTGAGCGTGGACGCATCACTTTATGCTTAGGCATAAAAAATAAAAACAAAAACAACATTTTTCACAATATTTTTTGTAACATTTACATTTGTCGATAAAAAAACAAGCCACTTTACAGCTCATTTCATTTACAAGAGTTCCATTTCGCACAAGGGTTTTCCTAGTCTTAGGAAATGAACCCCTCTGCGAGTATATATAGCGAGTAAAATTTCATTGACTTTATACATATGGTTAGCTCAAAATTATAAGCTTCAACAGCAGCTATATATTTTATTAGTAAGAATTTCTTTGAATCCGTCATTTATATATATATATATAACAAACACAAGGTTTCAGTTTCACATTTGTTTGCACTCTGGAGTAAACAATAGGCACTGCTATCTACGTTTGTAACCTCCCCTGGGTTTGTTTGTCCGAGAACACGTGGGAGACATTGAGCTGTCCGGTAATGCAAGCTCTACAGAGAGAACAGAACTCTCTTCTTCTGTATCGGTTATGAAGTCAGAGGCTTGGCGATCTAGTTCCATCATCGCCTCCTGAATCGCATTCTCGAGTTGAGAATTCATTTTGCGACCCCTGAAAAACAACATACTTTATTTTAATAACTGTTTTTAAGATAGAATTGAACCAAATATTTATAGCTGGCCAATTCCATCATTTGCGAATGTCATATTTGTAGAATTTAAAAGCATTTAACTCCTTCGAAAAAAATCGAGCAGTTTAAATAACTTTTCTTAAAATAACTCTTAGTATCATCGACATTATTTACTCCAATTTCTATTAATTTCTAAAAATTTTAAATTTTTTATCAAAATAAAAGCTGGCTATTGCGGACCTAACACTGTGTTACATTCGTAACGCAGTTTTTAATTTAAAAACAAATTTAAACATATTAGAGGTTATGTAATTGATACCAAGAGTTATTTTCAGAAAAATTATAATAAATTTAAATTTACTGAGAAAAAATTTACTGAGTTACATGCTCTTAAAATACATACTGTTAAAATATATACATTTGTAAACTGTGGAATTGCCCAGCTAAAAAATATAAACACTTCATAATGACCAAATCATTAAGTTTTTTGCACAAAACAAGTAATAAAGAAACTGTTTAACTCAAGCAAGAAACTGGGATTAACCTACTTGCATTTAGCACAGAGTAAAACAAATATGATATAAATACATTTAGAGTAGTCGCAAAAAATAATTTACCAATTGTTTAACTCAGACACGAGACCTTACTTGAACCTAGCACTTTGCAAAACTTTATTAAAAACTTGCTTGAAACCTAAAAGGTTAACTAAATACTTTAGCACAGAATAAAACAAATTGACATACATTTAATTCAGTTGTAAGCAAACACAAGAGCTGCCTTTAAAATAAATAATTTATTCATGAAACAAAAAAATTTAATTTATAAGAATTTACTATTAAAAAAAAATCATTTCACTGACTCAAAAACTAAGGTAGGGTCTCTCTCAAACGAAATCTATTTCTTAAAGGTCAGTGTGAGAAAGTGGAGTAATTGTAAATAAAATTGTAAAAAATCCAAAATGAGCTAAGATGGTTTGTTTAAAACACTCTTTTAACAAACAAATGTGTATTAAAATAATATAAAATAATATTTAACTTTAATTTTTAAAAAAAAGCGTTGAAATTGACTTTAAAGGTTACAATTCAATTTTTCACTAAAATAAACCATATAATTCTATTAAAATATTCGACTTGAATATATTATTTTCTTACTGCTTATACACTTTTAATTAAGTTCATTTTGGTTTTTAGTTTATTTAGATATCCGAAATTAATTTTACATTTCTACACTATAAACATTTATATTTGAATATTAACAGAATTTAAATAGAATTAAGAGAATTTAACAGAAAATTAACAGAATTTAATTTAAAAAAATTTTTGAGATTAGGAAGAACATTGAGTAATAGAAATTTATTTTTTTAACAAGTTCTTTTAAAAACTTACAATGGTTAAAGATAGAGGTGATTTCTTAAAATCTAATTTAAATATTCAGCCGTACACAAAAAATTCTTTATCCAAATAAATTATTATTACACTATTGTTTAGAACATACAGCTTTTTTTTTCTTCCTGTGCCAAAATGCTTTACAGTTATTTCACAAAACAAACAAACTGAAATGCATAATATGAAAACAAGAAGCAGTATTAGAAGTCGAAAATATACTTAAAGCTTGACTGATGGAAAATAAAAATTCAAGATATTTTTAATTTAAAATATAAAAAAAACAATAGTATATACTTCAAGGTTATAGCCTTTTTAAAAATGTTACAGAATATTGCCACGCGTGAAATTTTCAGTAATAACGTTTGGGAGAATATGCTTAGGAATACTATCATTTTAGTGAATATCTGAGAGCATTCTTCGAGTCAATATTTTATTAATTAACAGCATTTTATATTTGAATAAGTTGAAAATTAAAAAATAAATTAAGAATAACAATTAATAGAATTAATAAATTTAATCACATTATTTTAAATTTATCAACACAGTCCTTTTTTAAAATAATATAACCACATAATAATTATAGTGAAAGAAGAAAAATTTTTTTTAAAAAAAACATTCTTATTCAAACATGAAAATAATTATTGATTAAGAATTAATAGCTCAATAAAAAAATATGTCAGGAATAAGCATATATATATAAATA